CTTTTTTTTTTTTTTTCTTGGCCTTTTTTTTTTTTTTTGGCCCTGGGCTCCTGCGTTCTCCGTATTTGCCGCATGCGTAGTAGTAGTAGTAGTAGCAGCAGTAGTCGTAGCAGTGGTAGTAGTAGCAGTGCTAGTAGTAGTAAGGAGTAGTAGTAGTAGTAGTAGTAGTAGTAGTAGTAGTAGTAGTAGTAGTAGTAGTAGTAGTAGTAGTAGTAGTAGTAGTAGTAGTAATAGCAGTAGTAGTACTAGTAGTAGTAGTAGTAGTAGTAGTAGTAAGTAGTAGTACGTAGTAGTACTAGTAGTCGTCGTAGTAGTAGTAGTAGTGTAATAGTAGTAGTAGTAGTAGTAGTAGCAGTAGTAGTAGTAGTAGTAGTAGTAGTAGTAGTAGTAGTAGTAGTCTGGTAGGAGGTATAGTAGAAGTAGGTGAAGTAGTAGTAGTAGTAGTAGTAGTAGTAGTAGTAGTAGCCTAGTAGGAGGTATAGTAGAAGTAGGTGAAGTAGCAGTAGTAGTAGTAGTAGTCGTAGTCGTAGAAGTAGTCGTAGCAGTGGTAGCAGTAGCAGTGGTAGTAGTAGTAAGTAGTAGTAGTAAGTAGTAGTAGTAGTAGTAGTAGTAGTAGTAGTAGTAGTAGTAGTAGTAGTGTAGTATAGTAGTAGTAGTAGTAGTAGTAGTAGTAGTAGTAGTAGTAGTAGTAGTAGTAGTAGTAGTAGTAGTAGTAGTAGTAGTAGTAGTAGTAGTAGTAGTAGTAAGTAGTAGTACGTAGTAGTAGTAGTCGTCGTAGTAGTAGTAGTAGTGTAATAGTAGTAGTAGTAGTAGTAGTAGTAGTAGTAGTAGGTAGGTAGTAAATAGTAAGTAGTAAGTAGTAAGTAGTAAGTAGTAGTAGTAGTAGTAGTAGTAGTAGTAGTAGTAGTAGTAGTAGTAGTAGTAGTACTAGTAGTAGTAGTAGTAGTAGTAGTAGGAGTAGTAGTAGTAGCAGTAGTAGTAGTAGTAGTCGTAGTAGCAGTCGTAGTAGTAGTAGTAGTGTAATAGTAGTAGTAGTAGCAGTAGTAGTAGTAGTAATAGTCTAGTAGGAGGTATAGTAGAAGTAGGTGAAGTAGTAGTAGTAGTAGTAGTAGTAGTAGTAGTAGTAGTAGTAGTAGTAGTAGTAGTAGTGTAGTAGTAGTAGTAGTAGCAGTAGTAGTAGTAGTAGTCTAGTAGGAGGTATAGTAGAAGTAGGTGAAGTAGTAGTAGTAGTAGTCGTCGTCGTAGCAGTAGTAGTAGCAGGAATCGTAGCAGTAGTCGTAGCAGTGGTAGTAGTAGCAGTGGTAGTAGTAGCAGTGGTAGTAGTAGCAGTGGTAGTAGTAGTAGTAGTAGTAGTAGTAGTAGTAGTAGTAGTAGTAGTCTGGTAGGAGGTATAGTAGAAGTAGGTGAAGTAGTAGTAGTAGCAGTAGTAGTAGTAGTAGTAGTAGTAGTACTAGTAGTAGTAGTAGTAGTAGTGTTGTAGTAGTAGTAGTTGTAGTAGTAGTAGTCTAGTAGGAGGTATAGTAGAAGTAGGTGAAGTAGTAGTAGTAGTAGTCGTAGCAGTAGTCGTAGCAGTAGTCGTAGCAGTAGTCGTAGCAGTAGTCGTAGCAGTGGTAGTCGTAGCAGTGGTAGTCGTAGTAGGTAGTAGTAGTAGTAGTAGTAGTAGTAGTAGTAGTAGTAGTAGTAGTAGTAGTAGTAGTAGTAGTAAGTAGTAAGTAGTAAGTAGTAAGTAGTAAGTAGTAAGTAGTAAGTAGTAAGTAGTAGTAGAGTAGTAGTAGTAGTAGTAGTAGTAGTAGTAGTAGTAGTAGTAGTAGTAGGAGGTAGTAGTAGTAGTAGTAGTAGTAGTAGTAGTAGTAGTAGTAGTAGTAGTAGTAGTAGCAGGAGGTATTAGTGGGAGTAGGTGCAGTAGCAGCTGTAATAGAAAACACCGAGGCCCCAAAGGGAAAAAAAAAAAGGGCAAAGAAAAAAAAAAAAAAAGGGTCAAGAAAAATAGGGTCCCCCCGTTTTTGCTCCTGCTGGCCGCCGCTCGGCCCTCTGGTCCAGGTCGGCCGAAGAATTGCCGAGCCTAGAAGCAGCAAGCCATTCTCGGATGGCTTACCCCTACAAATTTTGAGACTTAGACGGAGGAGCTCTGCGAGGAATGTGCTATGGCGACAAGTATCCCAATGAAGACCACCTCTTCGTGATGAGCATGTGCACAGGGACGTGTGTCTGCAACCGACATGGGTAGGGCTGTCAACAGACTTTCAAGCAGCAGAAAAACCTGAGCCGAGGACCTCCTGGCACATCGACGATTATCCAGATGCCCACCTCTCGTGCAGCAAACCAAGTCTCGTTCGCAGGAAGATTGGCTGTCTTTGGAAACACAAAACTCCATTTGGCCATGCTGGTAAGAAGCGGATGGAGGACTCGCTGAATACAAACTGCCCCACCCACTGCGCGCTTCCCTGTTTCGCCCATTGACGGTTGCTCAAGGAAGCATCCCGTCACAGTCTCAATCACGCCCACTTGTCAGTCTGTTTGCATTAAAGGGTTTGCTCCAAACACTTCCAGCCAGCCGGGCGGCAACTCCTGCAGCGAGGGCTGTGGAGACTGTGACCCGCCCGCTGGCTCCTTGAAGCGCAAACGCTGATTTTCAAACTTCATCCGGTCTTCATGTCCGAAAATATCATGCTGTTTCTAATAGGTGTGAGGCAACCGCAGTGGCAGCACATCACCAGCACTACCAAGCGGACTCTGGACTTGGCGTCAACCAACTCCCGTCGGCATATGCTGCATTGGCAATGCAAGTTGCGATGGGTGCTCATAAGATACCGATGGCTGCTAGGAAATGGGCATCAGGGTCTGAAACCGGCATGATTAGCATCGAATAACGAGGGCGGAATACGAAGTCGTTTCAGGCTCGGAACTGTCAGGATACGAGACTTGCTGTGTTTTTTGTTCCCGGAATTGACGGAACTTGTCACAACGTAAGCTCCGTCTTCACATGAAGACAACAAGAGTATGAGCCTTTTCGAACCGCCTCTGCAGTCTCGGCCATCCGCGCTACTTGCCCACTCTGGGGCGCGGCCACTGTACAAGTCCCAAGCCGTTGACACTCCGAAAAGGCACGAGCCAAGGCATGGCTTCTGAGCCAGACGGGGTAAGCCAGGACTTCAAGTTTTTTCTGCCAAGGCTTGGCTTGCACCTCCTGACGCTACAGAAACGCGAATGCACTACCTCAGAACGGATTCCCATGGTCCTACAACTGGGAAAAGTACTGCCAGTACCTTTTGTTGATGATTGATAGTGGTAGCAGTAGCAATGGTGGTGCCGGTGGCGGTGGCGGCGGCGGCCGTGGTGGTGTCGTTCGTTGTTGTTGTTGCTGCTGTTGCTGCCGATGTTGATGATGTTGTCACCGTCGCCGTGACCATGCTCATGGTAATGACAATGATCACCATCACCAACATTATAATCATGGCGCACAAAGACATGTGCAGCAAGAAATCTATTGCCGCACCTTTACCGTAATGGGGTTCAACTTGTACAAAGCATATGCACGCCGGTCTTCGCCGAAAACAAGCTATGGAGTTTCGTTCCGTCATGCCTTTGACAGGAGTTGTCCCTAAACAGCTCGCACAGCTCGAATTCGTGACACTTTGGTCCTGATGTTCATGCATTGGCGACCCTGTGGGCCAATGGAATCGGCACATGTGCCTGCAAATCTGCCTTTGAGGCACAAGCGGAATCTTCTCGATGATCAAGCATTCGTCAGATTGGACCAGGGCTTCTGGTACTCATGATTTCGGGCCTTTGTTTCAACCGAGGTGGGCTCTCTCGGCAACGTGTACAACAACAGGGAAGAAACAGTCTCTTGCGCGATGCCCGAAGCAATCAAATTCCAGGTACCAAAGAGCCTCTGGCCTCTTACTTTGGGCTCGGCCCATGTGGACCCGTCGCCGAGGAAGATTGGCCTATCGCATGCCAGATCCATCCACTAGTTGGGAGTTCTGTCAGCCTGGCAGGCGTTGGATCTGTTGCCAACCGCTTTGAGTTCTAGTTTCGGGAGAATCCAAAACTTAAGTCCATAATTACCCAGCTTGCCTGCACTTTCGCTGTTGAATTGCGATGGCCCTCTGGACACGTCAGTCTGTTGTGGGAGATTTCCTGGAGCTGAAGCCGAACCTTTTCGGAAACAAGGCCGCGACAGCCTCATCACAGTGCCAAACTCTCAAAGCATGAGCCCTACCGTAGCCCGGTACGTCTTCAGGAAATCTCCACAGGTCGAATTCTGCCTAAGCTGTCTCTAAACGTAGACAGAGGTGCGAATGCAAGGGGGATCTCGGCAAGCTCGGCAATCTCTGTTGCTGCCGGTCTTCTCGCAGTCATTCTTGATAGGGTTGTCATGGTAATCTTCTTCGGTCGAATGCTGCGAGACCGCACAATCTAGACTTGCAGGGCCGAGCCGCTGACATCCCAATACTCAGGGCTTCCCCCTACTGGGCCGCTGCAACATGTTTCGCTTCAGATGTCCTGACCGGCCGTAGCTTCAGCTTCGGAGAAAAGCTTCCCTGAATGGCACACCATCCCTCCAAAAGTGCTGCGCAGTCGTTTGCAGCAAAAACACTTTGCAGCGCAGTGCGGTACCTAAGAAGCTCGGCCTGCTGGATAAGATCAGGTCTCATGCCTGCAACTTCCTCCTCATGAACTCCTGCGTTTTCCTTGGCGCACGAGGCATGTAAGCCCATTCTACCAAACGTCCGGCTTTGCATCTCTGCCTGTGTACCTTTGCATATAAAACGGGCTGCATCGTCTGCTCACACATGCCGTTACGAACACATACATGTCGCCCACGCATGCGCTTGGTGCGTGGTACCCGGGACAACCCTTGCTACATGGGAATGCGCACTTCCCACTCCTTCTTTCTGAAGCTAAGAAGAGCAAGGGTTCCCCCCTTCGAGTGCGTTCTCTCGTCGCTCGCTCTCGCTCTTCGTTCGCTTTCTTTCGCCAGGGCTGGGGTCGGGGTGACCCCCCCACCGCGCCGCATGCAGATGGTCCCGCTGAGCGAGCACACCCTCCAGTGTCAAAGGCCGTGTCGCAGTAACATCAGACCGACAGGCCGCTTCCGAAAAGGCCTCTTACTCTCAGCACTCACGTCTGACTGGGATCGCTGCACTAGCACATAGAAAACTCTGACATACAAGGTGCGCAGGTCAATTCATGAAACTATTGATCCGTTCGATCATGCAATACACCCGCTCTCCCTAGCATGTTCTCCGAAAGGAAACGAAAATCACAAAAGCCATACTACGAAGATGCCTGCTAAATGTCAGCCCGGTCACCTGTCCATGCAGGCCTCCGGAAAAGCTTGTGAGTTCCGATGCCAGCGGAGAAGAATCCTTGGATTCGGGACTCCCGACAAGGGACTCGCTTGCTGCAGGCAACAGTCATGGCATGGTCGGACATGCAAACAGAACAAGACAGACGGGGTTCACCTTGATCTATTGACGTACAGTTTCACAGCCCCACTCGGCCTGACTACCCGACCCGATGCACAAACCCTCGCCGAGGCACTGCTCCTTCACGTCGCCCTGGGTGAGGGTTCGTGCATCCTCCCAAGAGTACGTGCCGTTTAACCCAGAGCAACTTCAGAGTTTTTACGAGTCTCCAGCGGACTTCCAACTCTTAGCGTGTTAGTGTTGCATTCGCAAAAACGACCGCCGCCACCATCATCAACCCTGACTGTCTGTCACTATCTAACTGCGACAGCACAATGCCGATCACGAATGCCCTAACAGCCACCACCAAAGGTTGTGCTAGTGGCCATGAAGATCTTCATCCTCGTGGTCGTGGTCGTGCTAGTAAAAATCATCATCTTTCTCAACATTACTCTCCTCATCCTCCTGGCCTTTTGGCCTTCATCAGCATCATCACATCGTTACGTCATTTGCAACCTCTTCAGCCTGATGACCATTAGCAGCACCACCGAACCACAGTCACCATGCTCTAGATCACCGTCATCGGCAATATGACAAGATTGATCTTTGCGAAATATTACGGTGGAGGTGGCTCAATGCCCCAGCACACACGCTAGCCAGCCGATCAAAGCCTCAACGTATGTGAGGCCGTAGTAGCATCCGCCGGTGGTGTTCCCAGCCTCCGCTTACTATCAAACCACACTAGAAGCAAATCCTGGACACGAAGTCCCCAGTTTGGGCATCATCAAGCCAAATACCCTGCGTCGGACCAAGCTGCAAGGTTCCAGAAGTCGAGCACACGGCTGCAGATGATGTGCTCATACCTGCGAGCAGTCAGGTGGAAGATTGAATCGCCGAATCTCGGCTGATGTCAGAGGGACAACTTGAGACAGCTACAGATTTACGGCCACAAAGCTGGACTCTAAATGAGTTTGAGCCACAATAATTCATCGAAACCCAAGCTTCCGACTTCGCACCGTCGAGTAGATACTGAACGAATGTATCAGGAAGTATATACTGACTACACATGCATGCTTGAGAGACAGATACATCAAGTCGGCATAGTAATGGTATACTCGCTCAACTATGCAATGTGCTTGAGGCCTTGTCTTCGTCATGCCTCTTTGCAGCCTACCGGTGTCCAACTGCTGCCAAACATATTAACCTAGCAATTGGGGAGGTTGGCAAACCAGGAACAAAGACATGGAAAGAGATCACAGAAGCGCAAGACCCCAAGATCATGATTAGCCGAGTAACTCGTACAGTCGCGAAGGATCGGCAACCGCCTCGCAAGAGTTGACTCGATGGTCAGCGCAGAAAAAACTAGTAGGCAGTGTTGGGAGGATCTGCCCGACATATCAGGCGGAGTGCAACAATGGCCCGGCCCCGGGCCAGAGTTGGAGGGCTTATTTCCAAAGCAGCCTGCAGCAGGACCTCCAGCAGCGACTCTGATTGCTCAGAGGACAAGACGGGGTGCTCCAGCTCAGACAACTTCGCTGCCAAGGCCTCATGGAGATCCAAGGTGCGGCTTGGCTTCTGCTCGTAGGTCCGTACGTATGTAGGCATGCAGTTCTCTCTGCCGTTGCATCTTGCGTCACATCTTGCATTCTCTATGTAGATACACAGACAAGCTTGTATGCTTTGCTGCATTTGCAATTTTCTAAGACATCGATATCAATACCTGTGTCAGTATCTCTATCTGCATCTATATCTGTATCTATGTCTATATCAGATAATTCTATACCTGTTGGCTGTCTTGCTTATCTGCCTATCTCATTTTCTCTCTGTGTGAAAACACTCGCACTCACATGTTCAGCAATAGACCCGAAACCAGTTCAAACATTGTTCTTGAACAAGGAGTCCGCGGATGACAACCAGAAAGCATGCAACAGTCCACCACAGAACAGACTTTTACTCATGACTTTCCTCCCAGGCCCTAGCTAGAAAGGAAGTGGGCGCGTCAAACAAAGCCCAAGACTAGACCAGCAAGCCCTGCAACCCGGAATCTCCAAATCTCCAGAACAGTTCCCCAAAGTCCGAAACGCCCGAACACCCTGAAGGCCTGCGGTTCGAGGCCCTTCTTCACCGATCCCACAAGGCTGCGGAACATCGGCCCTGACGGCTTACTGCCCAGACAGGGTTGCTTAGCATCAGGAGCCATTGTTTGACTTGGGGCCGCTACGAAAAGCATCACTACACCCCGGACTACAAACTCGAGGCAGTGTGATACCAGCGGGCCCACATGTGCATCGTGAAGCTCCCCTTGCCACGCTTGATTCTGAACTCCTGCGATGCGTCCTGTCATCAAGTGCTGACGCGCCTGGCATAAATACTGGCTGAGGGAGAGGAGGGATGAATCCGTCCAGATATCTTCCTGGAAGGAGAGGCTCCACGGAGGATCGAATCAAGAATCTAGTTCCTGGAATCTTTCCAAAGATGTATGAATCCGCCATGGTGGATAGCCGCAGCTAGTGGATCCAAAGTTGCTCTCTCTCTGTCTCTCTGCCGTGCCATCCCGAGAATCCAAACCCCACGTGGGCATATTCCTCAATGCAATGTCGAGATCTGAATTTCGCTTCAACCTTGCAGCACAAGCATCTTTGGTACTCCAGGCTGCTGAACTCGGACGCGTGTGCATGCTGTGAACATGCATGAGGGTATGTGGCTTTGCTCCTGAAGCTGCCTAGCGTTGCTTTCAAGGTCTTCAACTCCTACGCTCGCACCAGGTGCAAGATAGGCGAGGCTTGACATACCTCCGGGCAACACGGCCACACCATGTGAGGACTTCGTGTCAGCATCAACGGAGCAATTGCAGGTACATGATTAACCGAACCATCCACATGAATCGACCTTCAAGCGACGGCATCCACCCACCAAATCGAGCATCAAGGAGCCCACGCCCCCAACGGCGACAGAACAAGAGACAACACCAGCAATTCCGAACTGCTTCAGAGTCTTTAAGACTTTACGACTTTAAGACGACAAGAAATAGTTACATAGTCGCTGAAGTTGTGGCAGCTCAACTGAGCATGAAAATCTACCAAGCAAGATAACAAAGGCAACGCACGCAATCAGAAGGAAAAAGAATCATCTCTCCTACCTCTCTGTAGGTGGTCCCTGGCCCTTAGAAATTGCCCGAAGCTAGAGCATGTTGGGAATTATAAACCATCGCCTCCAAAATTAGCTATGGCTATGGAGGCGAGGGGCCAACTTTGCTTGGTAGTTGGCCTGCCGAGTCTTCTCCAGAACTTCCTTGCCCAGGCGAGGCTTCTGGTGCTAGGGATATCCCGGGTGCAGTGCTCGGCCGACCCAGGGCGGCCACAGCTTGTCTAGACTAGGATAGGTGAAACCATGCAGCCGGGGAGCCTGTGAGTGCAAGGCTTACGTGATGTCTGGGTGCCTACGAATCAACTTGTCCACCGACTCACATCTTGGCCTCGACCGGAAGTGTGCGGAAGATGTCGTCGGCGGTTAGCAACCGCCTGAGAACAATCACCAAGTTACGCCTAACATGCTCTGCCTCAACTAAGACTCAGTTGCAGCCTCCGTGACAGGATCTCATTTCACATGTTGACTTGGAAACATAAAGAAACAAGCGACCTTTTAGTGAACCCCTATATCCACTTCTGCCAAGCATGGGCGACACAGATATTTTGTAAGGGTTAATAGATGTGGATGTTGGGTTGCGTTTCAGCATGGTCTCGATTTGTCCCCGCTCTGAGCCGTGCCTCGTACTCATTCGGCGGATAGCATCAAGGCACACCGAACCTGGGATGGCTTCTGGGGCACGCCATGCCCACCACTAACGTCCCAGGCTGAACAGTAGCGAATGCAAGACCACAAGGCTTTTCGCGAAGACAAGCGCATCTTCTAACCTTCAGCTGCTGTGCATCCTTGCTGTAGCCCAAGCTCTGACACAGACGACCTGAAAGTAATTCAAACATCCGCTCGGCATCCGTGATGCTCTTCGGAAGTCCGCGCCTACCGCCGAGGCCCCCCCCCCGGCTCTCCCAAGCAATATCTCGCCAAGGTGCAAAACCCGAAAATCCCATCACAGTGATATTCTTCACAGGCCATGCATCGCTGGTGGATCCTGGCCTTGGAACCGTGGGATCTCCAACAGACCCTGAACACCACGAATTGATACGTAGCTCTGCCTGCAACTGTGTGTATAAATCATGCAAGCACCAACAGCCCGCCACCCTGGCTCCACTACTTGTTAGCTAAGGCACCTTAACACGTAGCTGCTGCCATCCGTCTGCGCAGGCTGCTATCTCAACGCAAGGTCTCGACAGTTGCATCTCCTGCCACGGGAAACAAGGCGGCATGCCGGACAGTTGAACCCAGTTCGTGCCCGAAGGGATCCCGAACGCCTCCAGAAGAGCCCGGAGAGTGTAGTTGGGAACAGGTGGCCTGGGACAGGAGAGCAGCTCGGAAGCGAACTGAGTGTGAAGTCACAACAACACATTGACTCCACCTCAAGGATCTACCGACTACCTAAAGCCCACGACGCTTTCGACAAGAAATGCAACACGAGCCTATTGACCGTGCTGCTTGTGTGCAAAAAGCCTAGCCTCCCAAAGCCAAATGCAGCTGAAGAGCAGTTCCTCCACGATGGGTCCCCGGCAGACCGGGCAAGCGGCCACTCCTCCCGATCAACAACTCAACCTGTGCCTCCGCAACTCCTTTCGTCTTTGGACGTGGAAGATGCCCTTCTACCCAAACTCCACGCGTCCGTAATGCCAAGACGTGAAGACCCTGGTTGCAGCTGTGAAGCCTCTGACGCATCGCAGACAAAAGCTGTGGCCACACAGAGGCAAGGTAACCTTGGCGAAAAGTGTTGGATCTTGCGCTACACGTGTAATGATTCCACAAACGCAAGCTGCGGCAAACTGCTGGCTGCGTAGCCGGCTCTTCGAAGATGTTGAAGCAGATCCTGGGCATTGTCTTCAGTCAGTGCCCTAATGCTGTCCCCCCTCGACCTACCACCCCTTGTTTGTACATAGCGGTGCAAGCACCCAGTGCGACGTCGCAATGCACCACAAATCGAGAAGGGTGTACTGCATTTAACACGAGTTCACATAAGTCAAGGACACCCTGAATAGCCTTTTCTATGCTAAGCCTCGTATCTAGAACGTCGGCTTCTATCGGTGTGGCGAGGCATCACAGCCAAATGGGACAAGAGCCATCGGCCCTGGACGCTATCATTTTTGCATCCACGCTGCGAACAGGTGAGGGCGGCGCATTCTGAAATGCCTGGCTGCTGTCTGATCCTTTCCCTGAGCTTTTTGCCATATTTCACTATGCGTCTACATATGCAATGTTTGCTTAGGTCTTTCGTATCGCCTCGCTTGTTTGTTGGCGCTCGTGCTTGACCAACTCAGGCGAGGTTTAAGGAACATCCGCTGCTTTCAAGAAAGCTTCGCACTAGCCAAGAGCACAGTAGCTCCTCAACAGCGCTCTAGTCCGTCTTCGGCGACCTAGCCCACCAAGGAAAGACTCCCCACGACGTCAACTTATCTTCATCGCCGTCAGACCTCAAAGCTTCTTGCTGTTCTTGTTGCTTGTTACTAGACTTAGGATTTTTTGATGGCTGCGTGCAGCTGTAGCATAAAGCATAGATCTCTGATGTGTGTGTGTGTGTGTGATGTTGTTGTGGTTGTCGCTGTTGTCGTTTGCGAGTGGGCGTCAGCGTGTGCGCGTGCACAGCTTTCCTAAAGGAACACACACCCACCCTGTGCGTCTGTATCAGTACGCGGGCATGTATACATGCATCCATGTATGCAGAGATGTACACATGCACCTTGTGATTTATGTGTGCATGGATGTGTATGTGGAAAGATGTACGTGTGTCTGTACGTATTTTAGAAAGTATACATGTATGCGTTGTGTATGTGTGCATGTATTTGGATATGAGTTGCAAAGGCATGCATGCATGCATGGCTCATGCTGCCAGCAATAGTCGGCAGGACACTCTCGAATTTTCGGGTTCCATATCACGGTGGTGACTCGACAGCATGCCCTCCTACCCGGACCACACAGATACACTGTCTTCGAAACAGAAATATCAGTGTCTCCTCGGCCTGCACGAGCTCCCACTTCCGGGGCCGCAGGCGCAAATATGCCAGGCATGTCGAGTTGCCTGTGCCAGATCGTGGGGTTCATGGGAGGAACTGCCCTCCGCTTCGCAAGACAGCAGCAGCGTCAGCCCTGCCAGTAAGAATGAAATTCACGTTTTGGCGCCGGGTAGCACCAGTCATGTCAGTGGTGCATTTTAATCTTCGAGCGAAGTGCCGCAAACACTTGGTTGCAGCATGAAAATTGGCACAAAGGAGAACAGGCAATGCACACACATGAGGACACAGTCGAGGATGCCAGCCAGGAGCCACAAGACAAAGCAGCGCATGCACCAAAGGCGAGCTGATGGTGTGAACAGGCTTTCTGACAATATTCTCTCGTCGAGTTTCACGACCTGCAGTGGATGTCATGCAATTGTGACGACAAAACGGACAGATGCTGCACGATTCTGCGAACTAAGCAATTTCGGGTTGGTGGACATTGTTCGCCTTTTCGGCTTACAGAAGCTGTTTCTGAGATCCGCTCGTAAGCCAAGAGCCCCATCTCGGGCCTGCGCGACGGGGAGCGGTCCTCCCCAGCACACGAAGCTGAAGGATAGCCGCCCATCATGTGCGAGGCCTCAGGCCAGATTCCGTAAGCAAAGGCCTCTTTATGAAGCTGCACCATTCAAAGACTATGTTCCTGATCCGCAGGGAGGCCTTCTACTGAGGCAGCACGTTCGACGTAGGGCGCAGCGCTCGAGCCGCTTCTGTTGCAATAGTCGAAAGTAAGACGACGGGCGACAGCGGGAGCAAACCATGCAAGCACAGGTGCAAGTGGTGAGCCACACATAGTTACCTCGCGCCATGCTCAACATGTCAACCTGATTTCATCATCCACTTCTGTCTGCAACCGGCAGAGTTCGCAACCCTCGACGACCATCTTACAAAGACTGACGTTGCTCCTTGGCCTTTGTGCCGTTCGATTCTGGCTCGCTCCTGCTCACAATGTGCATTTGAAGCGTGCAACACTAGAACTTGCTGGGTTTGGGGCGCTCTGCATGAAGATCACCAGCAACATCGAGATGCATCGTTTTGGTCGGCAGGGCAGCGCACAGGACATGTAGATACAGCGCCAAGAAACTCCAGTGTTGCACAGAAGGACGTCTTTGAATCGACCACTTGAAACTTTGCTCGAGGCATCTCTATGCTCCGTTCGTCGACGTCCTGCAAAACAACTGCCCCGTGAAATTTTAACACCGGCAGTCCTGAGCCCGCGGTCGGGGTTCAATTTCCTCGATTCTCACGGCACTGCTCGAGCCATCGCCCCCAACGTTTTACGAGGTTGGTTCCGTGGGCTGTCCAAGAAATATCTTCGAGTGCCTTTCCAAAACAACAAGTCTCCTCATGAAACCATTTCAGTGTAGTTCCTTTCGTCACGAAGTTGTTCTGTTAAGGGAAGCAGACCGAGTTGCTCGAGTCCGCCAGCCTCTGCGGCTGGAGGGGCCCCAACAAGCTTTCTATCGATCATGAAGTTACTCCAACCTCGTTAGGTCATCTTCCAAGCCCGTGATATGAAGAAAACTCTGCTGTCCTGTCTGCAAAACAAGAGAAGCCCTGTCCGCCATCCATGAACCGCAAAGGCCCACTGTCGCCGGGTCTCTGCTCCACTTCGCTGATCTGTTTCCTGGGGCCCGAGAACAGACAAATATGTAGGTACGAGTATACAGCTTTTGTGCACAGATGTGCAGCAGGTCGGTCGGGGGTTGAGTCGGACACATGTTTGCGTGCCTGCTTTGCATACTCCGTAGAGTCGACGGTCCGAGTTTAACTTCAGACTTCGATGCTTCATTCCCAAGCCTGTACTGACAGTGAGGTCAACACGAGCTCGAGTTGAAACTTCTTCGGAGCTGCCTGATGTTGACAAGTCTCTGCCGTCCTTTCAGCCCACACACACAAACAAACAAACAAACACACACACACACACACACACACACACACACACACACACACGCACGCACGCACGCACGCACGCACGCACGCACGCACGCACGCACGCACGCACGCACGCACGCACGCACGCACGCACGCACGCACGCACGCACGCACACGCACCCACACACACACACGCACACACACACACACGCACACACACACACACACACACACACACACACACGGGCACACACCACAAGGTCTGCTTCGGGCACTTTGCATTTCGACAGTTGCCCAGTTCGCCCAAGTGTCGAGATCTGCAAAGCTGCGAGCCGCTGGCCACTTTGCAAGCTCAGGCGCTCACTGCCTCAAAGAACAAGCCATCTTAAAGTCTTAAAGCTTCTTGTAAATCTCAAGCTTTTCATGCCTGCGGAGTGTAGGAGTTCCTAATAAAAGAGGCTTCGTTGGGTGATGCCTTGGTAGTTTGCCCCAAGATTAAGTACGAGGTCGATGCCTTCCAACGACACATGGAAATCGCTCTTGCAGACCAGAAACGGAAGTTCATGAGCTCCTTTTCACCGGCGCCGCTCTGCCTCAGCACGCTGCACCGAAGTGTCAGTGGCATGCTCTTGTGTAGTGCGGAGCAGTTTGTGGACTGGCTTGGATTGATCACGATTGGATGGTTCTTCCCGTGGAGATCCCCTGATCCCGTACTCGGCCTCACCTTCAAGCTTTTCTACTGCACTCCAAAAAAATCGGGCCAAGCGACACCAGTTCTTGCATCTCCTTCTCCTGTGCATTGCTCTATGTCACTGCATAGTGAGTCTCCTTTGCCCACACTTGATTCTCATCTTCACACCGTGCCCGCAGCCAAGACGAAGAGCCACCCCTGAATGTCATCGGCGACACAAGACTGGAACGCAAGGAGATATAGCTCTTAGGCAGAGCGAAATCTTCACGCCCTTTTACCCCTTTTCCCCGTGTACCCCTCCCCCCCGTGCGGCAGGGTCTCCGTTGAGGCGGTGTCTGCGGAGATCTGCTCATGGAGCCTCCAGGGCCGGGGAAGTCGATGCAAGCAGTTCGGATTCTCGGAGACCTTTCATACCGTGCCGGGAAGACCGGCTCAAGCACAAGGGGCGGGAACGCGTAGCACGGAAACAAAGGTTTGAGCTTGGTTTCTTGTACTGCATCTGACACCTACTGGTACTGAAGCATCAGGGGGTGCAGACTGTCAAACAATAGGGAAACCAGGGCGCTACACAACCCATCATGACTCGAGCTCGCATTGCCACGAAACGAAAGTGTATGCTCTCACTCGGGCAAGCCAGGTGAGGTCTCTCGGCATGCCGACTGCAGGAAGCTTGCAAACAGCTCGGCAAAGCCAGAGTACAACATTTACAAGAAACTAAATCACACGCGCATGTCGCTACAGGCGGCCAGCGGAGACGGCGCAACGAAAGGCCGTCGTGCCTGAAGTATTGCACTCGAAGCACTTGCAGCCGTTCCTGGCGGAGTGCAGCTCGGTAGGCCCCTGGGCTCTAGGCAAAGTCAAAACGGATCTTTCACCGAGAAGTCCGAGAACCGAAGTCGAAGAGCGGTCCGAAGCATTTTACACTTTGACTGAACTATGGCCCAAAACCTCCCTCACCAGAGCTTCCGACCCTGAGGCATCGGATCGCTGCCAAAAGAAACTGCGGCGCCTCCAGTTTTTGCCGCTCTGCGGCTGGTAACTCCCCGGCCGAAGGCTCCTGTCGCAGCAAACACATCCGAGACCACAGAAAAGCCGCAGTCTGCAGGACCTGCGGAGCTCTGATGCTTTCCTTCTGCGCTGCTGGAACTGCAGCCGCAGCTGCCGGGGCAGGCTCGGCAGACTCGGCAGCCGCCTGCAAAGGTCAAGGAAATGGCGCTCGCTCTCATCGTTGGCTTCAGTGTTCCAAGAGCCCACGCTGTGCCAAGGTCACCGTGGCATGCCCGACGGAACCATTTCGTCACTTCATGTTCTTCCTCTGACCACTACTAGTACCAGGAGTACTATTTTACAGGAGATGCGGCAGCTGCGACTTCCGAGAAACCCCTTGAAGGACAAGGCGCAACGCGAACACAAAGACTTGATGTCCTTGGCCTGGCCTTTGGCTCTCCGCCCTGGCGCTGGCGCTGAAACTCGCGGATCCGTTCCGCCTGGCCGGATGCTTCGATGGGCTGTCCTGTTTGAGGTCGACGGACTCCCTTGTGGCTGCCTGGTGCGTCTCTCTCTCTACTGCTTGCAACCCCAATCTTCGCACGTGGAAGGCACCACCTTCCAAGCGCTGTTGCATTGTGACGATGCAGGGGAGTGGCATTGGTGGTGGTGGTGGTGGTGGTGGTGGTGGTGGTGGTGGTGGTGGTGGTGGTGGTGGTGGTGGTGGTGGTGGTGGTGGTGGTGGTGGTGGTGGTGGTTCAGAGCTTCATTGTCAACTGCCGCTGTGCCGAGCCTGGGCCCGCTCTGCAGGCGTCAGCTCTGCCTGCTTCGGAGGTGCAGGTGCCGGCGGCGCCTCCAAGCATGTGCAACACGATTTGAACTCGACCGGAAAGGGAGTGAAGAGAGAACTTGATCAGCACCAACTTTGACTTGAATCACCGTTTTCATGGCCACCAACTGAGTGCCTGAGCGACCACCTTTGCAGCCTCTGTCTCCTTGACGTCCCGGCGCGCAGCGGCCTCCGCGGCCTCGATAAAGCAACTGTAAAGCGTGATGTGCGAACGGGCGGGGTGATCGAAGAAGCACTCTTCTGGGCTTCATCAACTTCCCCCGCTCCCTACTACCCCTCAAATGTATGTACAGGAAGAGAGAGAGGAGAGAGAGAGAGAGAGAGAGAGAGTGACAGAGAGAGACAGGGAGGGACAGAGTGAGAGAGAAGGAGCATGACAAGTAGTGAGATGCAATGCGTGAGTGAGCGAGCGAGCGAGTGGCTGTCGTTGGCAGTGAAGAGTGCGTGCCTGGCTGAGCCGGTGTCATCCTTTGCTACCCCTAGAAAAGCTTGCCCTACGAAACCCTGAAAATCGTACTCTTTTCTGGACGGGTTTAGAGAGGCTGCCAAAAGCCCATCAGTCTATCCGCAGTTTTCTCCATGTTTATCATTGCGTGGGGGGATTGGACATACGACGTCTAAGCAGGGTCGCATCATGGTTTGCCACAGTGCGCATGCAATATATAGACGGGCAACGCTGCCCAAGGGATGCCCGGACGCATCGCAGGGGACCAACTCCTGCACATGCTCCGGCCAGGCGCACAATAATTTACGCCTTCAGCCACCCTTCCGAAGGAAAAACCGGCAGGGACGCTACCAGTCAGCGCAACACCTCCGGCGACTTCTTCCGGTCGTTCGCATCACCATCTGCCCACTGCAGCAGTACTTTGCCCTCAGCCAAGAAGCCCTGCACGGGGGCCAACTGCAGCAAACCCTAGGCACTCACAACCCTAAGCATCGAGAGTGTTCTGCTGCTTAGCTATGCTTCTTCAACGTGGCACAGACGGATGAGTACCTCGATCGTGGCTGTGTAGAAGCTGCCAGAAAGGTAGCGGGCCTGGCGCAGTGGAAGACTTCTGGCATCAGATTTCCCGACGGGCGAAGCAACTGCACCTACCCTCCATGCCCAACTGTGCAACGGATCCGTGCGCAAAGGTCGAAGTCACTCTTCCTCACAACGGCCGCTCTGCCTAGACATGAGGTGCTGAAATGAAAGAGAAATCCTTCACCCCAAATCTCATGTAGACTCCCGCCTTCACACGCTGGCCCACGGAGAAGCCATCGCGCCGGGAGATGTCAAGCTGGCACGGAGTATGTGTATGCGTCTGCATGTGTTTGCGATGGCTTGTGCGTTCGGATATGTGTGCAGAGAGAGACATCAGTTGCTTCACCATGGTCACAGACAGATCTGGGGAGGGAACGAGAGAGGCAGTCACAAAGAGAGCGGGAAGGAACGAGACAAATAAACAGAACGACAAGCATGCATGCCCTTATGCATGGCACATACATTATGCTACAACACATGACATGCAAAGCATTGCATTCCATTCCACTCACCTACCTACCTTGTGTTGAGTGCACATGCATACACGATCACAAACATCTCGACAGGCACACCTGGACACATCCGTGCAAATGTAACAGTGACAGTCCTCACCTGATTCAAAAGGGAGGAACTCGCGAACTGCTTCAAGCAGAGATACTTGGGCAGCTGATTGGTGGTGAGGATTGGTGCTTAGGATCATAGCTTTACCCCGACTAAGTAGCTTGACTCGACCCAACTTACGACAAAGGCAAACCAATGGCTGCTTGATCTTCCAGTGCCAGTGTTGTGCGCATGTCTCAGCATGCACATGTGGCATTGACTGACCTGGTACTTGTGTTTTTTATGTGCATTGGGCGGTTGATTATGACTTGTGATTGAAACTTTCCGCTATCCAGGTGCGCATGCAGTACGACCTTCGTGTTCTGCCGGAGGTTGGTGGGTTTGCGGTTCAAACCTGTTGCTGGATTTGCAGCACTTTGTAGCACGTCCATGGCCTCAGGCTTGACTATGGATGGTGGTTCACGTGTTGTTCTCAATTGGACACGGATTGAAATAAAGCTTCGACAAATCGAGACTAACGGAGGTGTTCACCGCAACGAGGGTAAACTGTGTGATGTCGTGTATCTGCGGCTGAAATCTCCAAGCTTGGCTGCCTTCTGCACGTCTGGCTCTTTCTTTGCCTGGCGTACCACGAACTCAAATCGCACAAGGTTTGCCAGGCACACAAGCGATGGGCGAAAGCAGTGACAGTCATGGGCGTATTTATTCCCCGTGGTGAAATCCAGAAATCCCGCTCCGATCCTCCTCCTTTGTCGGACTCGTAGCTGGTGCTGGAGCTTCAGCAGCCGCAATGGGAGGATCCTTGCATGGAAGTTGGAGGAAGGTCTTGGAGCAAGCCCGGGGACACATGGACTGTACGAGGCTATCTCAGGTCGTCACAATTTCGCCCGATGTTCATGACATCCAGAACATGGCATTTTCGTAAAAAATCCCAACCCTGATTTTGACAACCACCCCACCCCCACACCGCCATAAGCTCTCTTGCTTCATGAGGTCATGATACATGCCCACACCTGCAGGTACAGCAGGTACAGCACATATGCGTAGAGGACTTTGACGTTTACACATTTGCCCAAATACGTACAGCAAACGCCAAAACAGGCGGCGTCACCCGAACATCAGATCTTCGGCTCTGGAGCGTATGAATCAATGATCTTGCATTGCATCACGCTCCTAAACCCTACTCGTGCTTCGCCTCCGTCGTGTCCTTTTGGCGGCTGCTGCCGCCTTGGTCAACCAACCACAGCAGTGCAAATATTAAAAACCTTCGGGGACAGTGGCATGATTTGTGGAGCTGTTGCACGGCCGAGCGCGTCTGATCATCTTGCTGCTGTCCACAAGAAAGCCATCTGTTTCTGTTGGATCTCCCACTCATGCAGATCCATACCTGACATGTGGTGAACAGCTGCCATGCAAAGACATCTCGAACAATATGCATGGCAGCTGCAATGTTAGACTATGGAGGACGACCACATTTAAGTACGCAGTCATGCATTCAAGCGAAGGCTGACATTGCTTGTGAACCCTTCCCCTGAGCCTACAAGACGCTTCGGGCACGGGAGCCAGGGCCCTCGCGGCGCGAGCCGCTTGCGTGGGAGCGGGAAGCACGCCTGCAAAACGAAGACGCTGTTCTGCTTTGGCAAAGCAAATGGTTTCCTACACTTCTCCGACGGCCAAGTCCATGTTAACCCTCCCCTTCAACACGGACGACAGCGGTTCTATGGCAAAGCCCCTGATCGCCTCCGCCCCAAGCTGCTGTCGCGGGGCTCGTCGTCACGCCTGGGCCTGAGCGTCATGCGAAATCGAGTACGAAGAGCGGAACGAGACCACGATGATCACCCCAATGACGACACAAAGACTGCTGAATGCGAAGACCTTGGTGATGGCGAGTCAAGTTCACTGGGTCTGATAGCAAGGGTGGCATTGCAGTGGTAGCGATAAACATGGTGACGGTGATGATAGTGATTGGGTGGGGGCCTCTTCGCATCGTCCTTTCATGACCTTCCAATGGTACTGGTGCTGATGAGACTACCACGGTAACAGTGATAAGCTATGTAGGGGCAAGTATGCTGCTGAAATGATAATGAAAACCAATGGTGACGAAAACATCGATGGTCGGACATGTTGAAGCTCACTTGCTGGCGAGATCCACGTCACTCCAAGATTGCTGGGTTACAGGCCCGCTGGGTCGCCGAGCTGCTCCTGCTCGACAGTACTGACTGAAGTTGCTATGATCATTGCAAGGACGACTGCAAGCTATCCCGTTGGGTGCAGCCAACTGTTGGATCTCAAGTCCTGTATGCTTACTAGTGGCTGGGCAGTCAGTATACTAATGCCGCTTCTGATCAGGTCATAAGGAGTTCTATCTGTACCGATCACAACGCGTCTGTCCCCGGCCGTCCTCGCTCCCGACCTCGTTCTTCATGCTCACCTCGGCAAAAGGACATGTCTCACCCCCACAGATCACAGATCTCGGCTCTCAGAATTCGGACAAGCTAGGCGCGGCAACGCGCAACCCCGATCCCTCCACGCCCGGGCCAGCAACGACGGCGTCGAGGTGGTGAGGCTGCACGGGGCCTTCCATAACTGCAGTATGATAGGTTGGTTGCGATCCCGAACAAAAGAATCTTACTGGCCTTCTTTTACCTCGAGCACAAGGCTCCACATGGGAGCGGCTTTTGTCGAGCCTGGATCTGGATCTCCTGGACGGGCTGGGGGGGCGCCTGCATAGCGAAGGCAAAGTGACGACAGCTGGCGGCTGGCAGGCATTCAGGCCCAGAGAAAATCAACCTGGAGAAGCCAGAGCTGTTCTAGGAGTTGAAGGGCGTCTACCACAGAGAAGACGATTCGATTAAACGCCCGCGATGCCAGAAAGTTTGAAGTATGGTTAGTCGGGTGTCGCCAAGGCCGCGAGCGTGACGGTCAACCACGGTGCCTCTGGATTCGCATCGTGAGCTACAATCTTCGATGCGGCGCCTCCTCTCCAGTTCTGTTCCCTCGTTCCCATGTGCAGGATGCAAGCAACACATGCAGCGCCGGTTCTTCGGCACTCTGCAAGACCAGACACAATTCTTAGTGAAGCACGTGCCGCCACATCGTGCACTGTTTGGCAGCATTCGAAGAAGGCGTGCCTCTCGGGCCGACTCCGCTGCCAATAACGGTCCTCCTGGCAAAAACGAGTCGGGTGCCGATGAACTAGCGATGGCTTCTGAGCGCAGCTTGCAGGCTGTGTTGCTTCTGCGACGCTGCCGCACTCTCACGAGAAGTCTAAAGTAGTGGGCCCCCGCCGGCCGCACCTTGAGATCACCATGTTGTCGTTCTAAGAGGGGCCAGGCCCAGGCTATTATATGACAAGAGTATCAACATGTACCATCTGAATAGCAGATAGAAGCTACAATGGATATGTGATGATGTAATGGTACGAGTATTGGTAGCAAGAGAACCGGTTCCGTTAGCTACAATCGCCGCCGATGTGCCGATGTCATCGTCTTCACTCTCACCACCAGGACACCTACTGACCTAGTGCGGTGCTGCCACACCTCCAGCTCCCGGCGCCTGGGCGGCGGCTCGTGGCGGCCCTGGCCGATCTGGGAACGTGCGGCTTCGTGGGGCTGAGCATGGAGGTTGCCCGTGCTGCTGTTGTCGCTGACGACGGGATGACGGTGATGGCGACGTCGCGGCTTCTGTAGGCACACTGGGTCAAAGAGGCTGCTGTCAAGCTTGTGCCGGGGAGACCCCGCTGACGCGGCGAAAGCTGCGACCTGAGCTGCAAACCCATGTTCCAAGCTTCAAGGTTTGATGCCAGCAGATCCAACAATGGGATGGGATCGAAGAAACATCGGGACTACAACCAGAAGATGCTGACCAGAATGTATATAAGCCTAAGTCCAAGGCCTTCCTGCAAGTCAATCGCCATCGCCAACGGCCCTTGCAAGGTGCCTCCGGCGACCGATGTCAAAAAGTGATTACAGTATGTCGGTATGGAACTTACAAAGGGAGTCGTCGTGAACGCAGGTCAGGGCCTTCGTCTCTAGGACTGTATTGCAAAGCTGAGCACGAGGGCCCCCTTGCAATGTCCCGGCAAGAAGACGGTGCAAACAGACCTCGTCCAACGCTACGTCGATGCCATGCCAGAATGCCCAGGCTATGGGGTGGTACGTGATGTTCAGAAACAGCACTTGCTTTGATCCTAAAGTACTCCGACGACGGGACGTCGCATCCGCTGTTTCTAGGCTCGCGTGAGTTCACGGCTACAGCCGGTCCAGGGACGACGATTAGACGAAGCTTTCAAAGCATGCGTGTTTGGGAATCTGCGTTCGGTTGTGATGGAATGCTCTTTGGCTCGAGTGCATGTTGAGGCTCGAGCCCATCAAACGGAGTTGAGTCTCTGTGTCGACGTGTTGCAAACTCTCTGCGCTTGCCCGTGGCAACGAAGCGAGAGGCGTTCCGCAAAGGCTGCTTATTGCTTGCTGGCTGATGCCGGCTGCTCTGCTTGTTGTTTGCCGCTGTTACTGTTGATATTGCGGTTGATGCTGTTGTTGGTGGTAGCAGTGGCGGCACAGGCGTTCGCGGGGGCGAGGGGCGGTTGGCTGCAGCTGTCGCTACAGCAGGAGGAGCCGAAATATCAACAGCGCAGAAGCCGTCGCATGTAGTATGGTAGGAGTACAGGCCGAGGAACACTCGTCTCATCTAGCCCGACTAGTCTCATTGGGCTCAGTCCGAGGACCAGCATCGATCCGAATGTCAACTTTCTGCTCTCGCGGGCGAGGTCACTTTTAGACCTGTCCTGCTGGAGTAGGCATAGCTGGAAAGTGATGTGATGCTGAAACAAGATACTCAAATAGCTCTCCAAATACAGCGGAAAGGCTGACAGCTGCGTCTGTCCAAACTGCTTCGACGTGGTTGCTGGGTGAGACAAATCGGACACAGCTCTCGATAGACTCAGCTTTATCAAGTCAGCGCGACTCTTGAGTTTCTGACAGCGATTCCTGACACCCAAAGCCTGTTCACGGCTGTGTCCGACATGCAGTTCTGCCTCAACAACACCGTGGGCTACTTTGCAGTGTCGCGCTGCGATGGCTTCTTGAACTGCTCGAGGAAGATGCCACAGGGCTTGTTGGTCCTTGGAATTTTCCAGCTCCAAGGTTCGGGCTGTTGAGAAACATCTGAAGTCATCCTCTCCGGGCAGCATGAACAAGAGACTTCCCAAGACACAGAAAGGGCTCCAATACCATAACTCTCATGATGCATAGCCTTCCGACATCTGCAGTGAAGCGAAGCTGTACACCGGGCCCTTCAATCATCCTCGTTGCTATTCGACGGCATGTTCAAAGACCCCCTGGGCTGGGTCGCACCGTTGGTGAGCATTTCGTGTCTCCATCATCTGCGCTGGCATCCAAGAGTCTTCTTCCGGAATTCCTCCATGTAAGCCAACCTTGCGAGTCACTCGTACAACCAGAATATGTGCGGCTTCCTGGGGAGAAGTGTGAGGAGTTGGCACTGGCGAGACGGGTGAGCCATGAAAGTCTCTTCGAATCTCCACGTCTTAATTGCGATACCGCTCTCCGAAATAAAGAAGCATACTAGATTGCTGCGAGAACGCCAAAGCCCCAAAGAAATCGGATAGTGAAACTGCTTGCCGCCGGTGGTGCTTCTGCTGTTCGAGCAAATCGATTCGCTGATTCGCGGTGTTGATTTGCTCCCTGGGAGGAAAGCGCATTTTCTTTGGGGGATTTTGGGATTCTCAGAAGCCCGGGGCCTGGGACCCTGCTTACACCAGGACTACGCATGGGGGGCGCCGACTGTGCTGTGGACCCCAGACTCCAGATTGCAAAACCAGACCCCTTTGCAAGACCGTAACCCCTGTTTGCATCCAGGCCTATTGCGACCCTTTTTGAAACCGGACTTGATGACTGCCAGCACTGCCCTAAACCCTATTGCGACCCTAAACCCTAAACCCCTAAACCCTAACCCCTTGCCCCTAAACCGTCAGCCCGCAGCCCGGAGCCCGCGGCTCTGCTCGGCCTCAGCTCGTCCAGGCGCGCATTGCGGTCCTCGGCCGCCGCTAGAAGCTGCTCCCACTCCTCCGGGCGAGAAAGGAGAATCTACAAAAAACACGTTTACTGACTAGCATAAAGATACCATGGACCATGCCACAAACCACTGCTACATTTGCAAGAAACTGTCTTACGGCTACTCACACAAGGTGACAACCAACGCCTGCAAAGCATGAAACGGATGCCATAAACTTGCGAAGACAAAGCTCTGCAGCCACAGACAAATGCTGTGAAAACATTGACATTTAGGGCCATAGGGGGCTCTTTAATCTAGATCATATCTATTTGCATTCGAGGCACACAGGAAAATCTGCATAACTACCTTCACGTACCTATGCAGATCATACACGAGGGACACGACGTGTACACATGCATCTACCTCTGGGCATCATGCACGTGTCTGCATGCATGCATGCATCCATGCATGTGTGTAGCGTGATGACACAAACTGCAACATACATGCGAACAATGTATGCATGTTTAGGCAGAGATCTAGGAAGGGATAGAAGAAACAGAGGACGACAAACAGAGAGAGAGAGAGAGAAAAAAGAGAGAGAGAGAGAGACAGAAAGAGATACCCAGAGAAAGGCAGTTGCCACATACACTTCTGTGCAGGCATCTGTGTTCCCCTGTATACAGACCTGGCGTTCTGAGAGCTGTCTCCTCGTTCTGCTTCCGGTGCCGTTCCTCCGCATCCTTGTGACAGTCATGCCAGAAACAAGCCACGGGCTGCGGTTGCTGTGGTGCGAGACAGGTTCTTCTCTCAAGAGTGGTTCTCAAACCAAGTACGTACTTCGACGGACGGTTGTCACTAGGCAACCGGTGCAATTCAAGATATCTTGAAGTCAATGATTTTCGCCTAGCAACACAGATCCCACACAGACTTGGCAGCCACAAGTTCAAGACCAGCCCGAGAGTTCGTTCAACTAACGCTGACGAATCTCCTCTGCACCATCTTAAATCTGAACAGACTGTCGCATTTTGCACGAGTGGCCTTGATCGCATCCTTCTGCGCAAGATAGCCTTTGCAACACACATTTTCCGAATGTGGGCCACGATCAAGCGGGCAACGATCCCAATGAACTCTGCATCGTGCGGCATCAGAGTTGATCAACCATTAGGACAAACCCATCGTGGCAAACAGACGAAAGTGAGCAATTGCGTACAGGTGACTCTCGTGGATATCTCTCCGAGCATCGACAGTTCGCTGATAAAGCGTCTCTTTCTTCTGCAGCTCGTCATCCTTGAACCTTGACCGTGTGCATGTCATTGACAGTCAGTCGTCCAAATTCGGAAAGCTAGGCTTCTGCGAGTTCGCAGAATGTTGCAGATCTCCAGTGCTCAAGAAGCTTCATTGGAGAGAATTGGATTGCAGTTCCAGCCGTGGCACATGATCTCGTCACGATGCCGCTTCAAAGACTTCTGGACCTGCTCAGAAGCATGCTCTCCAACAGCACGACACGGCGGAGTTCAAATCCGGAGCTCTTCCAGACGACTCAGACTTCACTCTTCACATGAACTTCTTCTGGCATTGCTGGTCCTGGAGAGTCCTTTTGCACCTCGAGTTCTGCGAGAGCCAAACTTCGGGGGCCTTGTTCAGCTCCGCAGAAACCGTGTCTTTCGCCGAAACTGCCGCACGGTGCTCCTCCACCTGACATCCCGATACATCGACCCAACCTTAACTGTTTATGCTTCAGAAAGGGTTGAATTTGGGCTGGGCTGTTTTATGACCGAATTCCTGCGCCTTTAGGGTTGCACGTGGGCACGTATGCATGGTGGCGTGCTCTTTCTCCCTTGTCGTGGAGATACCAGAAGTTTGGAGGGTGTGTCAGGAGGAACTCGTCCACATCAGCTGTCATCTGCTACAAAGCAGACCGGCCCCGGTCAACTCGTCCTACTCCATTGGGCACTCTAGTGGCATCACATACCTCCGCGCCGACTGACCGTCAATTTACAGACTCGGTGTAAGCTCGACTGCTGATATCAAAAGCTTGATGTCAGCAGCCAACCTGCTGGCGGAACATCGACGACAGCATGGCTGCATCTGCGCAGAGGCCTGGCGCGCAGAAGTTCAGGCGATGTGGTGCTTTCGTCAGCTTCTTTTCATGCAAATGTTGACAGTATGTGTCAATCTGCGCAGCGAACAGTGCGGGGCGTTGGCCGGGAGTACTCGCAAGCTCATGAAGGCTTTCCACGATCAGTGAGGTATTTTGCCGACACCGTCCAACATTGATTAAGGACAGCATTTTCAACGAGAGTAAAAAAATTCTCAGGGTATGGCCCACGACCGGGAAAGTGTGAGGGTTCGGGATCGGTGCTTATGACGGCACCTTCTGAAACCCGACAAACAAACGGACAACCTTGTCTTGCGATGGTTGTCTCTCTGTGTTCTAGACTTTCCGACCATGCGCTGCGGCACTTTCTGATAATGTACATGTTCAGCTCTCTTGCTTGATTTCTTACGATCGGAAAGACAGGAAGGCAGAAGCCACAAGTATGCCAGGCTGGGTTCAGCAATCGTGCCTGCACTAACATGTATGCAGGAGCTCTTGGTGAGTCTTTCTCCGCTCCTACCCCTTTCCAGACACTGTGCCACGACAGCGGCGACAAGCCGGTGGCCCGAGAAGAGTCGGAAGGGGAGGCGCTCACCAGGCATCTGAAACAAAGATTTCGGCAAGTTCGGCCAGGTGGCTATCCACCGAAGACCAGGTCTCCTGCAACAGCACCTTGATCTTCCTGGGCAGCTCTTTGCCCCCAGTGAGCGGTCCCCACTCGCTGTAGCAAGAGGGCCTCGGGAGCGATTCCGCCAAGTCTCGCCAGTCGAGGCAGATTCTCGTTGGTGACCTTTCACTGAAGGCCCGACGTTTCAAACTCAACTGCATACTGCTGCATACACATCACACCCACATTTTACACATTAGTTGCTTCTCGACAACACTCGACGGATTTGCAGTTGGCATTCGGGCGAACCCTCGAGGCGGGACTGCTACAAGCATGACGGGGCGCACCTTCTGATTCCGCTCCTTCAGGTCACTGAGCTCCTGCGGCCCACGATGTGGGGGGGGCATCAGGGCCTATATTCACGTGCCACTGGTACAACACACACGAGCGAGGCTTCTGCAGGCTAACGGGAAACTTCATCCAGCAGTCGTTCTCTTGCTGCCGAAGCGACGAGTCGACCTTCACCGGATGAAGGGCTGAAACTCAAAACAGTCCAACTCCAAACAATTGACTTGCAATTCGAAACATCTGACTCTCACTCATGGTCCTTCTGGACGTTGTGAGTCTCGCCCCGGACGTCCTGCAGCGCCTGAGCAGAAATTGGAGAAGTCTGCGCGTTGTCGTCACATATTCCGCTCACTGGCGTCCTTTGCTTCCCAGCGTTAGTTGTTTAGTGGGAAGGCTATTCGCGAATCTGTGTGTCCTAGTTCAAGGTTGGCCGGCGACACTCCTCTGACACCCCACCCTGCAACCCAACTGAACGAAGTGTGGTCCAACTCAAGAATCCTGCGGCAGCCGTTCCTGACAACTAAGTGTCCGGACCTACTGCAACGCTGATCGGTCCGTTCTGTGCACACATGGATTCTCCGGAAAACTTCACTCTTCGTCCCAACGCAAGGCAAGCTCTCACCAAACCCGAGTTCCGCACGTGCTCAAGCTTCGTCTTCTGGTTAAGAAGCGTCTGAGAGGACAAATCCTGGCAGGATCCGGTTGTCGAAACCACTAGGGCATGAGGCTTGCACGAATCGTTGCACATATTCTGCAAGGAGAAAGAACCTCCCCCAGAGAGGAATCTTCCATGGAGAAGAGGAGGGGGCGAGGCCGCGAGGCCTCGGGTGAACTCCTTTGGGGATACCTAGGGATACCTGGGCCCAGGCACCTTCTCGGCGATCTTGGCGGTAAGCAGCTCGAGGCGCTGATCCCAAGGAGTGTGACCTCGTGCGCAGCACGATAAGCATCTGAACTTTGGTCTTTGGTAAGCGGAGGTTGCAGTAAGTGAAGGTAAACAGCCTGCTTTTTTCTCAGCAGAGGCACTGACAGCTTCCTCAACAGTTCTTTCTGTACTTCGGATAGTGACATCTGCAACCTAGTGGGCTCAGACGTGAAATCTACTGCGCTTTGCCGAATGCTCACCACGTCTGAAACCCCCAGCTACCCCGCACCGTAAAGCCCCATCAAGAGACTGTCAAGCCCACGTCCCGGCCAGCAAAAGTTAAGATCAAAAATAAACAATGCAAATGAAAGGTTTTGCTCCCATTCAGAATCTGACCTTTGCCATCTACATCCAGGCCCCGACCCTCCAAAACTCATCGGAGTAGCGTGAAGCTTTGCTCTGCTGAAGCTCGTGGTCGAGTTTCGAGACTGGGTCGCAGACTCACGGCTTGACGTTTGCATCATTTTACATGTTAGGGCTTCGGGACACTCCGCAAAGCTTGGGGTTACACGAAAGTCACCAGTCGCCTTGCTCGAGGTCAACTCCATAAGACTGCTTCAAAACTGCGTCTTTACTTGTGCATATATGTATGTATTCTGCATTCAAGTCAGTAGGTATGAGTGTGTGCATGCATGCATGTGTGTGTCGGCATACATGAAACAAATCATTTGAACACAAGCTGAACAGAGGCCGGTCGAGCTGCACGGTATACCTTCACGTTACGAGTCACTTGTGTCAGGCCATATTGGCCCCTGGCCTGAAGCACACAAGCTCACTCGACTGACAGAAGCATTCACACCAGCGCGACACAGTGCCTGGCATGCCCAATCGAACTTGGACGTTGCCGAGCTTCACTTATCAAAGAGCTCGGTGATCTCCTGTCGAATATCCTCGCTCTTCACATGCCTCGGAGATCGATGAGTTGTGTGAAGGGAACTCTCGCGGTGACGGATGCCTTGTTGAAACACGCCAACAGATAAAAGCAGTTTCGCCGGGGATGCGGCTTGCCGTTCCTCCACTGAATCGTTTGCCCGAACCTCGCTGGCTGGTGAGGTATGTTCACAAATATGTTCGTAAAGTTCGCTGCCTCAATCTATCCGATGTCAGCTAAACATGTGCAGCTTTCTACTGTACATGTGCTGTCTCTGAACTTCAGCTTTACGCGGCGTCGTCCTGATGTCGACAACAGAGGTTGCTCAGATTTTCTCAATGTCAGGCAGCACGCCACTCCATGCATCCAGGACGCTTCATTCTTCTCAGCTGCTTCTCCATTGTGTGCCTCGAGCTCGGGGAATGCACTCCGCCAGCCAAGGGCCAAGGAGCACCCCCGAGCAGCTTCGGGGGAGGAAGGCTAGGAAGGCACTACCAGATACCTGCACACATGATCCCGGTTCGGCCGTCCCCCCCTCCCCCTCCCTGTGGTGTGGGTGGTCCGGGCGTGGGTGGTTCCCCGACTCCCGCCCCGTGGCATAGTGTGGGTTCGGGTCTTCTTGCGATGGTTCCCCCCTGCCTCTTTTTTCATTGATCGTAGGGCCATTATCTTCGTGACAGTTGTCGCTTTGGGGGCAATTGCCATAAGGTTGCAATGGGCAAGCTGTCACAGGGATCAGGCCTGTTGGTCCTCGTGACAGTTGCCTTGTTTAAGTAAGACGCTCATGTCGGAGTCGTCTTGCTTTGGGAAGTGTCCACAGTCACAAGGATCGGGCGTGTTCGGGACGCGATCCTCGTGGCAGTTGACGGCTTGGGCGGCCTCATGTGCATCGTGCTGCAAAATTTGCACAGTGACACGGATCGGGTGTCTTTGGGGGGGGGGGGTCGGCAAACCGAGAACCGGGATCATACATGAAGAATGCTGTAGTGCGCGGAAGGTTCGGGGGTGGTAGGGCCGAGATCTGCCCACCCTTGCACCACTCCCGAACTCGAGAATGCGAAAGCCGTCGCCATGGCTCTATTCCAGCACAGCACCCTCTGCCCCAAAGTCCACCAAAAGCGGGTTGGAAGCTGCAGCATGTAGCGAAGTAAAGGCATCTGTGCATCCAGGACGCATCTCCTTAGATCCGATTGGAAAAAGGCATCCGTCAGGTCAGGAAATAGCCATCCGCAGCCACACGAAAAAAAGCATTGTCTACCCCGCCAATCCCGTTGCGAACCCAAGCACATGAGCCACTCAGCCGAGCCGCGGTTGCTACGAAACTAGCTGGTCGTCGGTCAATGCTTTACGTCACCTTTCCCAAACATCAACCCCTGAATCTCTTGAGAGACATGCCAAGCCCTGCATCATGCCACTGAGCCATGGCTCCTTCAACAAGTGCCGTCAAGCAGTAATTAAGGCTACGCTTCAGGCATGAGAAGCAGAAATCTTCACCAAGTCCACTGAAGACCCGAGGAGCCGTGCACTTGCCTGCATTGAGTGTTTTCGGATTCCTCAAACACATGTGGCCAAGCTGCTGCGAACATTGCGCGGAAACGCGTGGGGAGATACCTCGGGCTGGAAAATCAGACAAGGCTTCCAACCATTAGCACGTCTTCCTCTACTGTCGTTCATGCTTCGTCGTAAACCACTGGCACGATGCCAGCGAGATCTAGCAAGCACAGCAAGCATAGCTCAGCTTGTAATCGCCGGAACGGCACCATCTCTATCCGCACAGATGGTCTGCCTGATGCAGAAATGGAAACCGCAGCTCTGTTGAAAGTCCCAGCAGCGACGGCTGCGAGATTACATCGTTGCCCATCGCATGTGCGCTCCTCAGGTCGGCTCCCACTCATGGCACGCATTAGACGGTTAGACCACCAAACGGCGATCCGGGGGCGATGACCCTTTCGGAAAGCAACTCAGATCTTGGCTTGACATACGCGTACGGCCCGTCTTCCTCCGCCTCAGCACTGACATGAGAAAGCTTCCATCTGCCCGTGCTCTGTTGTTACACGCTTCGAACGAAGCTTCCAGCACAGCCATAATGAGGCGCCGGGGAGCAAGCGGCAGTCGAGCAACTGTGTAAAGCTCTGGGGGTTTGTCCTTGGAAGCGACACCCAAGGGCCCAGGGCGTGAGCAGGGCGTGAGACCAGGGAGCATCCCGTCATCATCGGCATCTGTGATAAACAGCATCATCACCTCTTGATCAGCAGCTTCATGTTGTCGTTGTAGACAGGTTCAGTATACTTCTTTAGCTCCTTCTCGTCCCAGATGCCAGCATCAGCGACGAGGACACAAACTTGGACCACTAGGATTGCAAGTAGCAGCTAGCAGCAATGCGGCTCTGACACAACTCGCACCGCGCGAAACGATGGCATGATTTCCGATCCAATTATATTGAAAGCCCCAAGGGACCCCATTACCATGTTGCAGCTTTCGAAGACTTTTTCCGAGCAAGCTGCCATCTTCCTAGACTGCGCCCGCACGAGCTCGGAGAGCTGTGCCTTATTTGCCAGTCTGAGGAGGACTGAGACATGGTTTGTTTTTTGCCCGGATTTGGGGCACTCTAGTGTGCACTACACGGACAGCCCAAGCAGCAGCACCGATCGTCAACTCACTGCACTCATAACACGGTAAGGCCGAGTAACACACGAGGAAGTGCACGCTGCACATAGGAGAGAAAAATCAAGAATGCACATTGGCTCCGTGGCATCAAACCACATCTGCAGCTGCGCTGCCATGCGGCCGTCGCTAGCCGCCGGTGCCCGGCCAAGTTCAGCATGGAGCACCTAAACTTGCCGCTCGTAAGTTCGGCCGGGCTGGTTTTGCGCCTTGAACTGCCGACAGACTTGGAATCCCTGGCGAAACTCTTCCACCTTTGTAGTGTTCAATCATGCTACCCAGAGGCCGGTCACCCAACCTGCTGTGCCTTGCAGTTTGGGCACGGCTTGCTGATAGAGGATTGAATCGATCCTTGACTGTGCTGCGTGGAGAATTCGGCGGAAAAGGGACTTCTGCATCAGCCACTCAACAAACCATACTGCTTGTCCTAACAAGGTTGATGAGACCGCGCTCAAGTCCGACACCAAATTGGCAGAACCCAATGACCGAACTCGTGTTGACGATGTTGACGGTGTTTTGCCATATGCGCGCTGCCACGTGGAGCTCGCAGCAGGGTTGCGGTCGTGATGCTACGAGGCATCCCGTCAGCTGCGGAACTCGAGGATTCGACATGTTTCAGCAGGCGGTCGTTCTTGACTGTCAAACGTCCCGGCCTAAACTGATCGATGCAAGCCCTCAAACACCCCGTCCGAGTGTCAGCTCCGACACCAAGGCATCACGGCAGTTCCTTGCATGGGGGCGGAGTCATGTCGAGGGCACAGAACCGGGCACACGCTCACTGGATTTCGAAATTGCAGCCAGGGTCAGCAACCCCACGATGTCGGACACACTGGGAAGGCGCTGCCTCGGGCACGCAGGGGCGGGCCCCGGTAGGATGGAGGCATTGTGAATCTACGTGCCGGTCTTGAGGGTGAGAAGCCAGGCATTGGCTCGGTCACCTTTTTTAAGCCAGGCTGCTTCAGGGCATGGCTCGCAAACACCTATGTCAGGGTGACAGGAGCTGGCAGTATCCGGCAGCAAGTGCGCTCTGTTCATGGGCAAACTTGGAGAGCCTCCAGCTGGGCCTCTGCAGTGGCAACAAGAGCCTCCCAGCTCTCCTTTCAGGCTGTCGCTGGGCTCATGCGAAGAATGCAACATGATGGCGGGTAGCATGCCACAAAATAATGAAGTACTGCAGCAAGAATAAGCAGCCTGTGGCAAGGACAGATGAGGACGATGATAATAGTGTTGGCATGCTGGTGACATACCCGATCATCATCAGGAGCCATAACAGTGGGCGTGGCAGACACAACATCAGCATCACATCACCAATCATCGGCATCAATATTGAAATCAGCATCACCGCATCAGCAGCATCAAGATCATCATCGCCACCACCACCACCACCACCACCACCACCAGCCCCACCACCACCGCCACAACCAGCACCATTCGCATCGTCATTTCCCTCACTGTAGCGATATCTTCTGGCAGCGATGAATGACCTTGGATCATAACTGTGCACTCTGCAGCCTTTGACACTTGGCTTGCGGTGAACACGACTTCAAGAATACTACCCCCACCAAAACTCGAGCTGTCACATCCAGTTGACAGGCCATCCCAAATAAGCTTGTCTCCGCTCCCTCCGTCGCACTCCTCCGACTCTGGGCCCAATGCTGTGAACCTGAGTGCTTACGGGCTTCATATGAGACAGGTTGGATGCTCACAGCAGACATGCCGGGATAAACATCAGCCTTGGACGATGTATTGACAACTGGGGCTGTGAAATGTTGTTGTTGTTGGCTGCCGAACGGCTCGTCCAGGGAGTGCATGAAGAAAAGGATGTCTAGCCTGTATCAGATGCCAGCTCAATGTATGCCAAAAGCCAAGCATTCACCGCTCTAGATGAAACGCACACGCTCCACCGCGGATCACGGACATTCACGAGAATCAGGCGATGCAACAGAATCCGCGGCCTGAGGCGATTGATGATACAGCGATACTTCTCCAGGACGAGCTCTTCCTGCAGGTCGGCCTGCAGCCCACGGTCCATGTGCAAGCTAGATGTCTCTTCTTCTCTCTCTCGCTCTTTCGTTCGCCAGGGCTATGGTGTAGGGGCTTTACCCCCTACACCGCTGACTCTCGCTCTCTCTTTCTTTCGCCAGGGTTAGGGTGATGGGGTTTCCCCCTTCACCGCGCGCTAGTGCGCCCCCGACTGTTGCGGGTGCCAAGGGGCCAACGAGAAAGATTACAGGCTGGACTTCAGCCGGTTGGCAATTACCGAAAAAAGAGCGTTGACTAAATTAGTAGGCCTCATGTAGGAGGCAAGGAAAGAGGTGCTTGGAGGCTCCGGCGGCCCGTCAGGATTAGTACGCAATGTATGGTACAACGTTGCGGTACGGATTGAAAGGAGAAGAAAACTCTGTACGGAACTCAAGTTTGGCAAAAGGGCATGACCCCTGTTAGCTTCAACAAGGTGCAAACCCATGACGTGCAAGTCAGCGCTCAGCAGTTAGGGAGGCTACTGTGCTCAAAACCAACAGCAAACAGTCGAAGAAGAACAGATGGTCGACCTCATCACGGGGGCGTCCCCTTTTCACAGCATCCTGCCATTCTACTCAAGGGAAAATCCCTAAAAACTACCAATGCCGCATGGCTACGTGACTCAGGGCCCCCTCACCGGGTCGAAGCGGTAGAACTCGCTGAGGAGAAACAGGTCTCATCCCCGGCAACAGGCACTTCAACTTTCACGCCACTTTTTAGCACAGCGCTTGTTGTCACCTTTCCATTCGTGTTTTCGTCGCGCTTCCTTCCGCATGGCTCTGTGCTGTTCCTTCTGGGCTTTGCGGTAGGCTCGCCAGGTCAGGTCATCATTGTCCTGGGGTTCGATATGAACTCCCCCGACCTCAAATCCTTGCTGTAGTAGTTGATGCAGCCGATCTCGTTGTTGTGCTGTAAGCTGCGATGGCTCACCTTCCGGAACGGGTGGTGCCGTCTGACCTGTGCTGGGGTAGCCCCCCTCGGGGACTTCCTCTTCTTCAGTCCGTTGTTGAAGTGCACGGCGTGGTGGAGGAGGAGGAGATAGACGTAGTACTGGTACTGGATCTGCTTCGCTTGGTAAGGCAAGCGTAGTTGGCACGGCTTCTCCTGCTGAAGTGGCAACACGGGGATTCATCTGGGCTACATCGGTCCGGACCTTGGCACATTCCGGTGGAGGTACATTGGGTCCCTTACGGACACTGGTTGGCGCCGGCGGTGTCGTCCGGTTTGGTTCCAGAGGTGGCCCCTCTATCTTCGTGTCAGAGGCGCCGTCCCCTTGGCGGGCAGGCAGCTGTGCAAGAGGAGCCTGTTCGCGTACGGGTAGTCGGGGAGGAGCTGGTCCGGCAACGCGAGCAGCAGGAGCACGAGGAGCGGGAGCTGCTAGTGCCTGTGACGGAGCATCCGATGCCATGATCTCGTCAAGAATACCACGTGTGTCAGGGTCATCTTGGGTTCCGATCGTCCAGTGTGTTCTTGCTTTCGCCACAAGTCTGGGGATCGCCCCCGGATTTGATTCAATGTGTTCTCGCAGTTGGGAAGCGCTAGCAGGCTTGTTCCGAATCGTCAGCTCGAGCAGGTGATGCGCATCATTCTTGATTTTGCGGTTCTTGTTCTCCTCGTCTACGTAAGTCTCATAGTCTGCAAGTTTCTCCACGCACTTCCACGTACTCCCCGGTGTTCATGAGGTAGCGGATGTTGCGATTGTCCCATTTTTGCTTTGCCTTGTTGTGAAGTCGTAGTCGAAGACCAAGGTCCTGCAAATTAGGTGGAGCTCTACGTGGTAGTTGCAGGGTCTCCTCTTCTTCGTCGTGTTTCTTCCTGGCTTTGGGGCGATCTTCCCCCTTAGGCTTGGTAGTAGCGGCTCTGGTCGAGGGCGATGTGGTAGTCCGAGGTCCCCCTTGTGGATTGGCGGCAGCAGCAGCCTCGGGCGTCCATCCTGGGGTTTCCCCCCTGGCTTGCTGAAGTTCTCTTTCGTGGCGGGCTTCCTCCACTGCAGCTTGTAGCTCCTGGCTGTGGAGCAACGCCTTGACCTCTGGAGGCGAAAGGTCCTCGGTTCCAAACAACACGCAGTTGTCTGCGTCAGTCCTGTGTTTGGCGTGGCTGGAACTTCCCAAAAAGCACCGTTTGCACAAGGGCTTCTTGCCAGCGACCTGAGGCTTCGAGGAAGTGGCTCTCTCTCTCTCTTTCTGCCGGGCTTGGGGGTCACTATCGTGACCCTCAGGCTTTCAGCCCGCCCGTCCACCCACTGGTTTATTGAGTGGACGGCATTGGGGTGCCACTGACCGCTGCACCTACTACCGAGTATGTTTCAGATTCTCGAGCTGTTACCCCCAACCCCGAACACTAAGTCAACCCCAACCCGCCTCTTCCCCGCGCCCCTTTGGCAACCGTCCAGAGGTTTACAGCTCGGTAACCAGAAACATTCCCTTGTGTATGCACACGGAGCTTGCACCAAACACTTGACAACTTAGGCCATTGCAAAAACGTAGCATGCACTCTCTCTCTCTCTCTCTCTCTCTCTCTCTCTCTCTATGTCTTTACTTTTTGCTTTCTGACGGGCATAGGGTTTCGGGTTTAGGGCTCCCTCCCTCTCGCTCTCTCTTGAGCCAGGGCCGGGGCGGGAGTTGCCTCCCCACCTCTCTCTCGCTCGCTCTTTCTGCTGTCGAGAACCAGCAGCCCTGCCTGACCGTGCGCCTCCGCGTGAGCCTGCGGCATCGGAGCTCTTGCCTTTCCAGAGGCAGGGACGAAAGCTTCGGCAACCTTCGCCGCCAATGCAAGACCGGCTGAGTCACGGGACCTGACCATCGAGCGGCCGAAGCTAGAGAAGGCCAGGAATCGCCACCATCGCAAAGGGGTGCTCAGATCCGCTGCTTGTTCGCACGCTGAGACTGTTCAGGAGTTGAGGGCTTCATGGATTCGGTGCTCCTTCTACAGTTGCTCGTCCTACTCTGAGCCAACCCTTGACACATGCCAGTCCTGAGCAACCGCGAGCATGGCTGGCTATGTGACCGAGCTCGGGACTAGCCACCACACAGGGGACTTCAGACTCTGGACAAGCAGGGAAGCCGTTGCGCAACTCATGCCTTTCGTGTTTCCGCTGTCGACATGGAATTATACCAAAGCCTACTAAGTGTTGGAATGTCCCTGTGCCCGCTCCGCCTTGTCGATTCTGAACACAAACGTCACAATATCCCTGTCCTGCTTAACGCCCGCTCAATCCAGTCGGAAAGACCCTCCTGCAACGCTACCACCATGGTTGGTTAGAGAGACTTTTGTGAAGAAAGTGATTCAACTCGGGCGGGCCCACCCCTTCGACTCCCTGTATCCCACGAGCATGCCGACAAGTTTGTTTCGCCAGGGCCGATGCGCTGCTGCAGGGCGGATGAGCGACCGCTGCACAATGTTCAAAAGCCCTTTGGCAACATAGCCCTCCAAACAAGGACCTTGCGACTTTCACCTCGCTTCACAACACGCTAGAATCCGCCACAATCCCGCCTTGGGCCGGCACTCGAATCGCACTGACAGCCCTAAACGAATGCCCGAACGCACTAGACAGGAGGCTGAACTGTGAACCTGTAGCCTTCCTCAACCGAAGCCTTAACCCGAAACCAGATCTTTCATTGCAAAGCCGCAGCCTCAATATTCAGTGCTAAGGCCGATACTACTCAGGTACTGTACGTCGTGGCGGCTAGTATAGTCATTGATCGTGCCGACTGTTGATTTTTGGTGATTGTTGGCTGATGCCAGAGGCCATATTCATTGCTGTCACCCAAAAATCTTGCCTAGATCCAAACTATGTGCCGATTCAGGATCATGTCGATGAGCCCCATCACCTTGAGTGCTGTGATCTCGTCGCAGGCATGGATTTCTGCTGTGCCAGATCTATACTCTATACTCGTACTGCAATTGCTCTTGCCCAACTACTCCCGACCTACTCTGCCACTACACTTTCACTACACAATACGAGTAGCACTGCCATGCATGAAAACGAAGTGTTAGGGTCTCTGGGAATCTTCACTTCCCATGCTTGTGATGAGACGTGCAAGAGCAGACTCGAGCTACCACTGCCAACATTATTCGCTGCTAAAAGGACTACTACTGGGATTGCCATCACGATCCATCGCGACGCCGCTGGAAAGAATTACTGCTATATGCCGGGGGAAGAAGAGGAATACGGCTATTGTGGCCGTTGAGACCGGTTCTGTTGCTACTACTGTGCTTCCTGCTGGTTCTACAATCACTACTCATGTTGTTGCCAGTGCTCTTGCGATTAAGGGTGCTTTGATGGCTGCTCGTCCTCCCTGCGCCTTAGCACCACCACCGCCACCACCACTGCTCCAACTACTACGACGACCGACCACCACCACTACGATGACACGGCAAACCACTTGTACACCACTTCTCACCACCCCCACCCCCCAGCAACAGCACCTGTGAATCGTACTCGCACTCTCCCCTCCAATCCCTAAAGCAACGAGGAATGATTCGGGTGTGTTTCTGGTTCAGATTCATCGCATTTACCCCAATCTCGAAAACACCGTTCTGAGTTGCCACGTGCCGGGCGGCTGTATCTGCTACGACTTCATGTTTTCGTTACTCGGCTCATTGACAGCTTGAACTTGGTCAGGACCTGGGGCATTTTTCTACTGTACATTGACATGTCTAGAACAGATGTTCGCCCTGAACCCCGACTCTCCGCTCTAAAGTAAATCAGGCAAAGGTGCCGCGTAGGAGATGAAAAACTCGGATGCACGGGCCGGAAGACCTCGTCTGAGCTTCTCGCTGATACGGGCGTGAGTTGGACTCAAAACAGGGCATTTCGACTCTCACACTCGCACAAGCAGGCACGGATTCCAGCAAGTCCATGAGTTCAGCAAGAAAATCCTAGCCGACCTCGAAAAGCTCGCGCATCCAGAAAAATGTGATGTCCTTGGCTTCGCCAACGCTTTGCTGTGATACTTTTGCGATTCTATCTTGGCTAGAGGTGGCAATCTGCATGCGGGACATTGATGCCGTAAATGGTACATTCAACAGACTCACTGAAGCAACTTCGACTCTGTTGCACAAGCCAGCGAAAGCCAACGAGTCTGCCAAGCTACGCATGCAGGAAATCGGATGGCTGGGCGGAACGATCAGCATCCTCCCGGATCAGTCCCATGAGTGCAGTCGCCATACAGCGTCATCTTCACTGCTAGAATAAAAGTTTACATCTGTCCCAAAAACCACTGCACTGCCCACTAAATGCGAGTCTATAGCGACTGCCCCTGCGATAGTTCGCCGTCGCCACAATCAGCCTTGCATGAGAGTAACTGCCATTCTCTCTCGCACTCTGAAGGTTCGTGCAAAGACCATCGCAACAGCCATTCGTTATCTTCTTCATGTTCAGTCATGTCACTGTGCCATTATGGCTGTGTTTCTGATCGCTCTGGTCAGCTGCTGCACCTCTACGATGGTGACAGAGGAATGACAGAAATACCCATGTGCTGGCTTCCTCTCAGCGGTTTTGGGCAAACAACTGAAAAAACTGCAACCACATGCTCCCCGTCTCCACTAGTCCTGGCAACAGCTGTATCAGCCGGGTAAGCCACAAGAACCTGAGATGATGTGCATCGGCTCAGCCTCCAAACCGGATTCTCATGTGTCTTGATTCTTGCAGCTGGCATGCAAGCATAAGCTGCCCTTGCAGGTACAAACCGGTGATGACGCGTGCATGCCGGTGGCACAGATCTGTGCAGCATGATGACAACACTTCAAGCATCTTCAAACTCAGGCGGTGGCAAGCGAGCCAAGTGACTTTGGGATGCGGAGGCTGGGTGCGGGCGAGAGGGAGGAGGGCATGATTCAAGAATGCTAAACTGCTAAATACTTTCCTTCACATTAACTTCGTCGAAGTCACTGCCGTCGCTGCCGCCATGCCGTAAGCCAGGGGCGGATTCAAATGCGAAGAAAGCGCGTCGCCTAGGCTTTCGTGCGTCTGCATCCTGTGAAACTGCACGTGCTCAGTCTGTCGGACATAGCAATGGCAAGCATTCGAAAAGCTTTGGTTGCCTTGTGCCAGATGCTTACTCACCTTTCTGCAAGCTGGAACTCGTGAGACGTGTTGTCTACACGCTGCTGATCGACACATCGTTGCGAAGCCGAAAAAGCCAATGCTCAGCAACTTCGTTGAGCGATCTTGCTGTTGCACATGCAATGGTGAGTTCTCCAGCTTTCCAAGGCCCACGCGCGTGCAAAAGAAGGTGCCGTCGAAAACCGACGAGCAGACCGCCTGCTTGACTTGAAGCGTTCTGCACATTCCCGACAAAACCGCATGCGTGTCTGGTTGCCTCAACGATCTCTTGGGTGCCGATCTATACACCAGGAAGACCCCATTGCAAAATCATGCACGATCTTCAAACCTATAGTACACTGTCGAGGTCCTGTCACACAAGGGAAGCTAGGGACGCGTACACCGCTGCGGGGATGTGATGAAACCGACCGCAGCCACATGCTGGGAAGTCAACTATGCCCCGAAGCTTCGCATGCATTTCGAGATCCCAGGCAGCCGCGGCGTGCATCCGCCGGAGAAGGCCAGTCCTCGAATCTGTAGAGAATTCAGATGTCGCGTCACATTCAACAGGTGACACCAGTAACTGTGGAATTGTCCCTGGGGCTGTCAGCACATCGCTCACGACTTCGTGGATGACTCTTGCAGCTGTAGGTGCCGCAGCTGGCCGGCGCGTGCGGCATCGGAAATAAGATGGCTAAAGCCTGGCAGAAACGGCTCCCATCAACAAACGTTGCATTGGCACTAATAGCTGCCATTGGGGCGTGGCCTCTGCTCGATGCTTCCGAGAGGCGGGCACCCACGGCGTCGACGACGTATTGGCTCAGCAGCTTCTTCCTGTACTCGGAGAGTGCCTGAAGGAAGCCTTGGCCGCAGTTCTCAAGGAGGTTCGGCGATCAAGGACGGGACAGAGAACGCCGAAATGTCAAAATCGGCTCGGATTGGCTTTCGTTGACAACGAAAGTTACGGAAACCTACCGCTACCCCAGGCCCAGGAGGAGTCTTGTCCTTCACCTCGGCGCATGAGCCACCCAAGCCCCGGTTCGAGGGATCACGGAGAAGGAATGCAACTCAACAGAACTTCGCGGCTGAAGGTCTGGCTGTTGAGAGCTCGACTTGCAAAAATATGTCCGAGCTGCTCCTACATGGAACGAGGCCGGGGGTTCTTGGTGGAGGGGGGCGGGGTCTTCCGGGCCTTATGCACATCTTCGCAGCTGGCCTGTCCAGCTTCGAACCTCTAGCTTGTATGTGACCTCCCTTGTTCAAGACCGCATCGCCACCATGCGGCCCACCACGTAGCCGCTCAAAACAGAGCCACCTAAGTGCCAGAAGCATCGATAGTCATGAAAGCTTGGTGCAGCTCCTTAGCGCCCGAAAGATTGCACCTAAGCTGGGCCAAGCCGCAGGCACGACTGCCCAGCTCCCCAAACCGAAGGTGCCGCGCCACCAGCTGAGTTGACACCTCCAGTAAGGCTCCTCTTGGTGTGTGCAAGCTCGAGATTTATGCTGATAAAATCTGCAACGGCCTCCGAGACCAGGAACATAGGCCCGCGGGATAGAAAGCGCTGCTCCAGGGCGGGAACTAAACCTCCCAGGCGCCCATAACGGAATTGTAGCAGTCATGGAGAGTTGGAATCCGTCATGTCATTCGTCGCGCGTTTTCGTGAAG